CCAGCCGCGTTTCCGCCTGCTAAACAGCGCGTCTGGACTGGCAGACCGCCCTCCCCTACGATAAAACTGACGAAGTGCGCAAAAAAACCCCCCCCCCCACCCCCCCACACCACAACCACCACCCCCCCCCACCCCCCCCCCCCCACCCCCAAACACACCCCCCCCACTTACCACAATCTCTCCAATGGGCAAAGGTGCGGTCGGTGCGTACGAGGGGTGGACGGTGACCCCTGCGCGGAAAAGGTCTGTCTTGGACGCCTTGATTCGCAACGACACCATAGACGTAGCCTCCCGGGAGTCGATTGCTTCGTCTGTGATGGATAGGTGAACTCCTGGATCATAGCCTGTCAACGTCGGCACCGTCGCCTCGCCCGATCTTAAGAACCCGAAGAAGCAGGAACAGGCGACGGCCCACAGCATCCGAGGGGTGCTGCTTCGGCTGATCGTTCCCAAGCTAATCGGAGCGATCTCAGGGACGGCACTCGTTATTTGGGCGGCCGACGGTCGCTGCTTGCAGCCTCTTCACTCATTTTAGAACAGCCTGGAGTAATGGCATATTTCCGAAGTCCGGCTCGACCCCCGTACCGCAGCAGGTGCAGCTGCCGAATCCCCGATAAATTGGTTGAGTGGGCGAGACCCTGCGCCGCCAGCCACGCAACGCGAACCTCATAAGGGTGTCTTGGCACAAGGGTAATGGAGCAACAGAAAAAAGTGCACAAAATGACAAATTACGAGATTGGGCCGACCCGTATGTCCGACGTGTAGCCGGCGCTAGAGCGTGCTGCAGAAAACCTTGAACCAGTCGATCCAATCACGCGAGGTCGAGGCGGGGCGGGCTCGGCTCAGGTGCTGCGGTAACTCCGGCGGGATGACTGTGGGCTGAGAGGCCTCATGCGGTATATACCTGCACGAAAAAAAGCGGAGGTTATTGCGAGAGTGCATCCGCTGGCACATTAGATGCCCCTGAAGTATGCTGCGCCGAAATTTCGAAGTCGAAGCGTACGCTGGCATAAAACAGACACCTGAGGAGGTGACACAGGAGAGGGTCGCGCGCCGATTGTCGGTTTACGACCTCGTCAGGTGTGTTAATTGTGTGTGCGATTTCATACAGTTTTCTAAAGACATCTATGAAAAGGCCAGAATGTTTTGGAGTAGCAAACTATATTTCTGGAAAGAATCTTAGGTACATGTTTATTGTGAACATACAATCTGACTGGTAGCTATGTCCGAAGTTGAACTGAAAGTAAAATCTCAAATATATGGACATGTTGGCAAATGAACTGTCATCCCTGTACACGCAGTATATATACATTTGCAATACTATAAAAATTGCATATATTATGTTGAGTAAAATAGAAACACAAAACACTTTGCATATATAATTATAACACCGAGGGTAGTATGCAATTGTCCTAAGGATTAGTTATGATAAAACAGTTCCACACAGATTTACTATTTTAAATGCAATTTGTAATACGATCAATCCTCTGATAAATCACCTCCCACCTTTAAGATGTTTTAGTCCCGATTTTGTAGAAGCGATTGCCAACAGGTGCAGTTATTGGTGACAAAGCAATGCTCACAGGAAGAGCTGCAATAGTCAGTCTTATCAGAAATTTTGTTAAGAGTCCGACATTGCTACTGACTCGAAATTATCTTCTGATCAAACGCTTCCTTTGCCTTCCTATGACATAAGGCAGGCAGAATGAACCAGCCACACCGGTACAGACACCAAAAGCTTTCATTGCAGCAGGGGTAGCCTCAGCAGCGAAAGAAATATATTTTTTCGCCAGACTTGTCACTGTGCTATTGAGAGCAACTACTTGAAACTCAAATTTGCGGTCTGATCCCAGCATGTACGAATCAATATCATCTAACCCATTATACCTAAGCATGGTGCATGATTTCAGTTCCCTTCACCAACACCTTCGTCTTCTTGGTCCTGACTGCCTCTTCCCATTCTCCACCCTCAAGTTTCTTGTACACCACATACTCTTGAACTGGCTCTGGGTTATGTGCTGGAGGATCCCAGCACAGCTTGATTCTATCGTGCCCTCTTCCAATCACTTTAATATTCAGAGGCTGGCCTGGAATTGTCTTGAGTATATCTGACTGTTGATTTCTGACAGTCCTCTCTCAAGAACTTCACTGGCAGCTGGTCGTACAGCAAGGCTGAGGTACTCAGCAGTGATTCCACTTGCTTCTCTTTGGATATCGAGAGGAATAGAGTCCTTAATAGCTTCTTGAACCTTGTCTTGGACTTTGCTTTTGGCCAGAAGATCAGCAAGCAGTTTTTCACAGTGCTTCTTTGATGCCAATGCATTTTGCTCGGTGAATTGATACAAGGCTCCTCCGGTGACCTTCTCTTCCCTGCCATTGCTTCTCCAACTCTGCTGCACGATATCTTGTTCTAGCTGATCCAGGAGTGGCTGGACTTCCCCCTCACTGGAGTGGAGAGGGTTAACATGACAGATTTCCTCTCTTAGAACACTCTTCTTTCTCGTCAGTGTCTGTTTGTGAATTCGTAACAGATTTCTCTCCCCCATTGGCAGGTTGCCTTCCAAAGCCTCCTTCATTTCCCTCTCGTACTCCCTCACCAGCTTGTAGGAGCATTCCTTCAGCTCCAGCCTCACCACAGCCTGCCAGCCCCCCCTGGTCCAGGTCTGGTAGGGCTCCTGGCCTGTTGACTGCCTCCACATACCCTCCAGCTAGAGCAGCCAGAGCTTTTCCGTTCACTCTAGTGGTCCCATCCACGCCCTTTTTTGGAGCAACATTCTGGAGGATTTGTTGGATGAGAGCGCCGACTGCTGCGTTGAAGGCTGGTTTGAGCTTGTCTTGCTGTTCCACTATGCCACGGATGATGTCTCTCTTGGCGGAAGGTATGGGGAGAGTGGCACACTCCATAGAGGGAAAAACACTGACTAGAGACTTGCCCAAGTCCGTGAGCTCTCCTGATTCAGATGCAAGGACACGTTTGTGAAGAAACTCGGTTGGCCCTACAACCTCACCTTCCCTGTTTGTCATCTTGAGACTGACGTCTCGCAGCAGCCGCAAAAAATGTGGGAAAAAAGCCCTCCTTGAAACTGACTCACCACACTGAGCAAGGAGGGAGGATGAGAGTTGGGAGAAACACCTCATCTTGTCGAGGTCCACCTTTTGAGGCACCTTCTTGGAGTTGTAGATAAGGAAGGAGCTGAGGAGTGTGGTGAGGGTGAGCAAGCTCATGGCCATGGTCTCAGAGGCTCCCACAGCATCTATACCCTCCGTATCTAGCAAGACTGTGGTAAAATCGTGGTACTCTAGGACGGTAGTTGCCATCCAGATACCTCGAGTGCAGGCCCGCATGCTGTGGCCCATCTTAAAGGCTCCAGGGCTGCCTGGAACGCGAGACGTGAAGTAGGACTTGCCTGAACGGTAGGGGACCACAGATAGAGAGGATGGCAAGGGGCTTGTCAAGACTACGAAGGAGTTCAATGGCATCATCCACTAGCTTGAGGGTGTGGTTGTTGTGGTCTCGCTTGTGAGTCTCCAGTTGGCAAGAGAGGGGGTCCCAATTATTCTGACTGGAGATGACGAGAGGGATGGAGGGAGGGAGGGTCTTAACACCAGGTTGAGAGAGCTTACGGGGAACAAGACTCTGTGGGACACTTTCTGTCGCCGTTGTTTCTCACTTTTCTGTGGCACTCGTGACTTGGGCAGTTTCCAGAGTTCATGTATAAACAACAAGTGGAATAATCATTTCTTCAAAATGAAAGGGGGATATAGGGATGGCTTGAAGCACCAAAAAGGAAGAAACAAGGGGTCATTACACAGCAAAGTTGCACAAAGCTACATGACACCTTCCCTATATCTTTGTTTGATATTATTTGATATTAAACTTTGCTTATAAACAACAAAACAAAGATATAGGGATGGTGTCATGTAGCTTTGTGCAACTTTGCTGTGTAGACCCTTTGTTTCTTCCTTTTTGGTATTTCAAGCCATCCCTATATCCCCCTTTAATTTTGAAGAAAAGATTTTTCCACTTGTTTCCACTATTTTTAAAAGCTTCTGGTAACGCTGCATTTATTGTTACAGTCACTCTGATGTTCATGGCTATGTTGTACCATTCCTGTATGCGCTACTTGTCTGTACAATTTGTACGCAACATGCACGCTCACTACATATGGAGTCCTCTTTTTCGACCATGAGCTTAGGAGTTGCGTTGACACTAGTCAGAAAGATCTTGTACAAGATCCTGCAACAGAACGCCTATATAGTTACTCAGGTACACACACTCAGAGACACATGACTAAATTCGAGTTACTATGTTACATACACTATTGTAGGAGGTTATGTGGCTATAGGTAGATCCACTGCATGTGTTATGACAGTACAAGGAGTACATGTAAGGCAGCACACTGCAGTGTTGCCCATTTGTGAACTATACTATTGGAGACTCTGTCACATTAAGCACCAATTGGCAAAAAAAACGTGACTGCTCTCCTTTTTATCAAATAAAAACAAATGATTTGAAAAATAATTTCGAGGAAATCATTGGGATGAAGGGTACTGCAAACCTTCGCCACACTTGGTATACATCGTGATACCTCTGGACGCAAAGCTGTCGAGATCAGCAAGTAGTAATTTGCACATTGGCTTGTTCACTTGTTTTTACAAATAAAGCACTGAATCTGTTGGCATCGTTCTTGGCAGGCTTTTTGCACATGATTGCACAACATAGTAACAGACAGACACACACTCTTACAAATAACCGTAACTGTGTATTATGCCGAGGTTAACAAGAAAATGCCCTGAAGTTCATTAATCGGCACATCTTTATTTCTTGCATGAAAGCTATCTGTGCTGTGTTTACGATACGACCCACCTTGGCAACATCTTTAGTTGTCAAGTGGGGTTAACTTAGTGTGTAGCTACATACTTTTCTTTACCCAAGGAGAAACAACTGAAAGTTGAGGTAAGCACACAAGGTATAATGCAGACATCACTGCACATCATCTAGCCAATCCACAAGATATTTTGCAATTGTGAATATAAAAGTGAATGGTTGAGTGTTGGTAGACTAAAAGAGACGACATGGTGGTAAAAAAGTCATTTCTCTAGCATATCTCTGATGTTGTCTGCCAACAGCTGATCCCCTGCCTCCTCTGCCGCTGAGATGAGGGCTCGGTACGTGGCCTCCCTCCCCCTCTTCTCCTTCCACACCTCCAGACACTCGCGCTTCTGGAGGGCCGAAGTCAGGAGAGCTGTAGGCAATGGCAGTTTCTTGCTGTCGAGTGAGGTCCAGAAATGGCCCAAGTGTCTTCCAGTTATTGAGATGATCCCTGGCATTACTGTCAGGGACTTGCGACTGATAACATCATCCAGTTTTGGACCACCTGATATTGAGGAGAACACAGGGATAAAGAGGGTGTATATAGGTATGGAGCTGTGGAGAATAGAGTTAGCCAAGGCTGTCTGTGTCCTGGGTATAGCTACAAGGGCTCTGAAGTCTCTAGGCATAATGTCTAACTAGCAGTGCAGGTCATGTCAGTCTCTCTGCAGTGGCCGTTGAAGAGCTTTCCACGTCTCTCTATCGTTACAATGTTTTCCTAACCCCCTAACCCTCTCTAACGCTACTACAGTGAAAGTATTTTCTTCTCGTGGGAAGAATCACTCCATATTGTCTATCACCATTCACAAGTGACATCTTTGCCTCGGTACCAATTATCGATGAACTTGCTATCTGATGCATGTTAGCTACAACAATCTAAATGAAACCACAGAGAGAGAGAGAACTTACTATGTTTGGGGGGTGGAATTGCAGATGGAGAAGAGGAGGGAAAAGTTAGAGGTAGGGGGACAGGACCCAGAGGAAGGTTGGTCTATGGATATGGAAGGCTGGGAAGATGTCCTAGTGCAACGTACATCAGCAGGGATGTTTGGTGGCTACAGAAGAATACAACGTAACCTTCAATCTACTGAAACTGAAGCTCACTGGGAGTGGGAAGTGGGTTGAGGATGAGGTCTCAGTAGGAAGAGAAGGGAGGTCGGGAGATGATGGAGGTGAGAAGACTCCATAGGTGTAGAGCATGTTGTTCAGTAGAAGAAGAGGTGAGACTGAGAAGAAGGGAGAGGAGTTCCATGACTTACAATACTGTACAGTTGTATGTATGCTGTCCCTGCTGGAATATGAAAGAAATGCCACAGATCAGCACTGTACCAGTGGGGAAGACTGCTGCAGAAGATCTAATGCTCTCAGACAACTGCCATCATCGACGATCCTCTCAGTCACGTAAAGAGCCCATGCCACCAGAGTCCAGGACGGCGCTGGATGCGAGGAGATGAAGGAGTGAATTAGGGCCAGTTTGTACTCTTTGTCACTGGTACCCTCTTTTTCGATCCTCTTCAACTCAGATTTTGGTATGTTTATACCTTCACCAAATGTCTTCCAGAGTTGATCGCTTATTATGTCTAGAACTTTTGATAGGTTCTCTAGAGTGAGACTGGTCTCTGGGAACACAATGGGAGAAAATAAATGGAGTTCATAGTAATGAAAGAGACAAACAAACAGCAACTGGGTGTTTATTATGGGGAAGGGGTTGGGTTAGGAATACAATGGGGAAGCTGTTATGAGTGAACAAATTGCCGCAGAGTTTCCTGGGCATTTTTTGACAATTGCCATTCGCCTCAAAGTGACAAGGTTCAATGCCAGCCATGATAAAAAATGCTGGAAGCCATATCCAGTGTGCTACAATGCCAGCCAATAAGAATCCATGGTTGCTAAGGTACATACCAAGTTGGTATGTCCCACCAGGAAGTACTAAGTACACTGGCCAGGTGCACAATCCTCTAGCATTACAACAGGTTGTGTTTGCTGTAACCACTATTCCGGTTTGCCTCAGTAACCACTATTCCAGCATTGCAAGATACCAACCTGTGACCAAACCGGACCAAATTGTTAGGGATGATGAGCGGAAATTTTATTCTGACAAGCTAAATAGGGAACTGTTAGTGATGCAACATCAACCAAATGGCAACCAAGGATTCAAAGGAAATGTTACTAGACCCACCTGGTGAGACCGTCATGAACTCCTTTACTGCCTGTAATGCCTTCTCCTCCTCCATATAGTACAGTACTCCCGCAACTCTCTCCCAGGAGGCACTCGGGACATTGTGAAGGAAGTAGAGTAGAACACCAGTTTTCTTGTCCTCCTCTGTCGGGTTGGCAGCATCGTACCTGATCTCCCTCATCACATCATCGGGAACACCAAGACCATGGTTATACTCCCCCAGGCCCCCCAGACCCCACCATCTCCAGTCTTCGATTGAAGAAGTTACGTGACACAGATTGTTGATAGTTAGTGTAGGGTCTGGATACAGAGTAGGATATAAAATAATACTCAATTACAAACATCACTTCAGCAACCACGTCATCAATGGAGGAAAAAAACATGAGGACAACTGTAGGTCCACCATGTCTTTAGTCAATCATAATAATGTCAACACAAACTCTAGCCACTGCCCTCACCAGTGACGGGTTCTGCCAAATGTCGTATCTTATCTGCAGCCTCTCTGCCTCCATACCCTCTCATCATATCAAGAACAACAATAATCCGTCTCCAAGAGGCCAGTGGGTCGCGGCCTATGAAGTACTTAAGAAGAGCCATGATTTGTTTTGTATCGTCTCCCCAGAACTGACTCTTAATTTCATGCCGTTTGCTCCATGGGACACCCAATTTTTCTCCTAGACCAATAGTGTGCCTCACCTTCCTAACAGCTTTCTGGACATTGTTTCTGGCGAACCCAATACCTATATACACAAAAGAAAGACATTCTCTCCTTAAACTCTGAGCTACCACACAGCCACTCGGATACAAACGTTTATATGTTTGCAAACTGCATTAGCAAACAGTGTCCGGATTGCTTTAGGGCAGGAAATAGGAGATGATCCAATGCAATATGCAGTTCAGAGTAAGAGCCTTGACATTATAGCCTGTGCTAAAATGAGTGCTATGTAGCTAGGAGAGTGGTTTCATTTTGATTTGTTTGGTAGATCAGGTCAAAGTCAACAAGTCACACATCACTTGCACTTATTGCTGCAACATTCACGACAGCAAAGAGCAACCAATGCTGTATGATGAGACATGCTGGACCAGGAGCTGGCGATACATTAACTAAAAGTGGGCAAGCCAGAAGTGTATTATAGGATACCTCTAACGCTTGGGTTAAATCACCATTAGCTGCAGCTGTGAAGGAGGTAGTAGCTCTTACATAGCAATGGAGACCAATGTAAGATAGAAGACTTTACTACAGAGGTCAGTGTACTATAACACTTTACTAAGTACTATATGCCAAGTGAATTGTAAAGAAAGTGCGCTATATAAACATGACCTTTGCTATCAAAATTTGAGGCTTCTCTCAATGTAGCTACTCCACAAAGACAAACCCACTCTACAGTCACACCAAAACGGCAATTTACTGCTGCATGCATCCAAGCCCCCTCTCTGCATACCATATTCCTTGCGAACGTAAAGGCAGTCAACTCCCTATCCAGCCCTGGCTCTCTAGGTTTTTATGCTCTTGGTTATTTTAGTGATGGCCGATCTTGATCACGCAGTAGAGGCTGGCTCGTTGTACATATGTACTCCCGTACCTGCATAGGCTTGAAGAAGATCCTAGTAAGCTTAACAATTCTGCATTTTCTGAAATGAACCTTGTTTTGTCATTGGCGAGCAAACCTAGTTTTTTCAACGTGGGAATTTTTTATAACTTGATTTATATGTGACGGCTCTGTCTGGCACTGCACACACTGTAATGTTCTCACGTGATTCTAAATACGCGCAGAATTCGCATGAAATATTGAACTACTAGCGCTCACTCGCCAACAATGCGTTGCATTCCTCAAGTATTTGGCACTTTAGTTTGGCAAAATGGAGAAAGGAATCACCGGACATACGGGGTTGAAGAAAGTACCTTTTTTTCTTTTCGCTTGACCAAGTGAAGAGTAGTGAATCAACATTGTTGACCATCCTACTACCCATCTGATTTACTTGGCTTCCTGTGCCACTGAAACCACTTGGGAAATACATCTGGTAACTAGTTGCACATCTAAGACAGTATGCTTGACAAAATCTCTCTCTTACAAGCTTGCATAGCATGCAGTAGTCACCAGTTGCCCTCCCTCATTAATGAGTTCAACAATGTACTTCCATGCTAGTACATGAACTGACAATGTCTGTGGAGGCGCATTGCATGGAGTGTAACTCAAAACACATAATACGTAAGCTAAAGTGTTTGACTTTGACAATGGATTAATAATTACTTGACCATAATATTACTACTTCTGCTGAATTTTGTCCAATAATGGTGCTGAAGTAAACTCTGATTGAAACTAAAGCTAGCTAATACCTACGCTGGAATTCATATAGCAGTTGAGCTTATAGCGTTCACTCTACGCACACCTCCCCAATACTCGCATCTCACATTTTCCCTCGTAGAAGTCAGGTGACGAGGGGCCAGGGGAGGCCATGGCTGGATCGCCCTCAGGGGTCGTTTCAACAATACCCAGTCACCAACTGTTATACGCCCACCTCCTGCAGTATTTCGGAGGTGGGCCTGAGCAGAGAACAGTCTCGTACCAAGCCGCTCCACCCCCACGTATGGAAACGAGCGTCTGGGGAAACTCAAACCGCAGAGGAGGTCGGACATACGCAAGGATTGCGTCATTGTAATTGAAATTTATGCTGACACAACGATTTCATCCCCATAAACCACGAAAGAGCGTGCTGTAGCAAAACTAAGCGGGATTCGGAGAGGATTTGCAACTGACTCTGTAAAAAATATACGGAAAATCCTATTATCCCCAGCGATCCCGTACTGCTTGGCAAGTTACAGTGAAGAATACTAAGAATTCCGTCACTCACACAGCGTGAGCCCTAGAGCCAAGCTAGCTAGCTATATCGCTAGAAGGACTTGCCGATTTTATCACGTGATGCGTGCCCCGTAATTTAGCTCACAAAGCTGTTTTAGAATTCTGTGACGTAAGGCTAACTGCATTGCAGACCCGCTAAACTACTAAAGACGGACGACGAACAATTACGACATGACGATGATGATCACATCTGAACGCGGTTCTATTTCAGCAAGAATGCTACAGGTTTTACGTACGCTCGAGAACGGACGACGAACGATACACAACGACAAGTGATGCTATTTGTTTCAAAATTCGATAACCCTTCAGCCGGGCGATAAAGTGTTTGTTGGGCGATAAACGCAACTTCATGGGGCGCGATAACTCTCAGGGGGCGCGATTACTTTCTTCGGGCGCGATAACTTTCTGGGGGCGCGTTAACTTTCTTCCGGCGCGATAACTCTCATGGGGCGCGTTAACTTTCTTCGGGCGCGATAACTCTCATGGGGCGCGATAACTTTATCAAGGGCAGGACGTTAGTGTCAGCAGTTGCGGCCTGGAAAGAAAATTAGCACCAGAAAAAATGCTTACAAGCCATACACCAAGCGACCTGTTGGCAAAGAAGTCCAAAAGCGGCTCATATTAGTTGATTACCAGGGTGATAACCCTGGTGAAGTTTATGATGGCTCCATACGCTACCGATTGGAAATGTCTGAAAATGAAATAAGGCACGAAATAGTTCGTTTGCTAAAGCAAAGGAAAGCCTCACTCACTCACTTGCTCGAAATTGTGTTGCCTAAAGACTTTGACTTTGTTCGGTGTGCTAACCGCAAAATTAGAGCCATAGACGGTGATGCTCCTTTTGATGGTGCAGGGATTTCCCAAGTGTACGGTAGTGGGTCTATTTATATACGGCTCAACACCCTACTACTTGAGAGGGGGCACGTAAGTGTAAGTATAGCATGGAGTGATGCACAAACATTTGGCATTCTATTCTACGTCTGCAAAAAGGCCACCTTGCAATGCTGACAGAGTAAACTGTATACTTCTTGCTACTGTAACAGTTTCCACAGCGTAGATAAGGTGTGATACACAAACCATTCAGGTGACAATGTATATTTCCCACATAGACACATGACCTGTAAAGGTGACAATGGTTTAGCTTGGTTAGGGTGATAAGCCTTTCTGTGTAATCTTTTAAAAATTCCTCCATGTGCACAGAAAGAGAATCAATCTGTGGTTATTGAACAGGAGCCTACTGCATTTGACGATGAGGCATTTCCGCAAGTGGTTTTGCACAATAGTAGCAGACCCTGTAGTCCTGGTGCAGGTTCAGCACAGTGCGTTCCAAATGGCTTAGGCACAGATTCATTTTTACCAACTTCTACCATCACCTAAATTCAATGCATCAAATCAGGTTCGTGTTTGACAAGTGTGCAGCACCATACTTCATAATATCTCCACTCAAATGTCTCTTCCATGCATAATAGGAGGCTGCTGATACTATATCCATCATTAATATTGATGATAGTGATTCTGCCGACGATAAAATCCTTCAGAGAGCCCTAGCTCTCAGTAAAGACGCGGCAGCTAGGGAGGCATCTGCCAGGACCGAAACGTCAACATTTGAAGAACATAATAATATACAGTGAGACAGTGGTGCACAGTTCCCTGAAGGCATAATGACTGTGTATGTTACACTTTTGCAGCACACTTGCTGATATAGTAAAAATGTTGCGAACACAAGTTAGAGCAGGTGATCCCCCTTTTGATATTATAGTGAGAAGGGGATATGTTTTAGACGACGCCCTCCAGAGAGTTTGCCGGTCATCTTTTCATCCAGCAAGGAGTATAGTGGTGAGTTATGTTGTTCACCTTGATCAGCTCTAACTTGGTTCCAAGCTTCTGACACCAAATAATATTGTGTTGTTTATACACCTTGCAGGTTGAATTCTTAGGAGAGCAAGGGAGTGATAACGGTGGTCTTACTCGGGAATTTTTGACCTTGTGGCTTGCCATGCTTCAGCTAAGTATTTGGAACAAACAGGGTGCTTTAAGCACAACTCAGTCGCTTTTCAGGTAGAAAAAAGAACGGCTATATAGCTAGCCAAGCCTTGAAAACTCACTAAATGGCCCATTATTAAATTTATCCCCAAAACTACAGTGCATGGCTCTGAAGATGGCTGTGTGTTTTGTACTAAATGGAGTAATTTCACTGAGGATGGTGTATATTTTCACCTCGGTCAACTTACAGCAATTGGTCTCATTCATGGGGGAGCGGTAATGCGAATATTTGCACTTCAGTTTTCAAGTACCTGAGTGGAAGCCCTCTGACATAATTGTTGACATTAATGAGGTTCCAGATTCAAGTGTCCGTGAAAAATATTATTTAAGGTATTAAATTAGGTATTAATAGGTGGTCAGAGCATGGTCGGTTGGTAAATTGATTTCCTCCTTTATCCTATGATAGATGGCATACACACTTGTTCATAATTATAATTCATGTTATCTTTTATCAACAGATACAATCCATGGTTAATGTTGACAATTTTAGAAGTTTCGCAAATGAAATCTATGATGAGCTTAAAAGCCTGTATCGAGATTGCTAATAACTGACATAGTTGATGTAGTACAGTCCATTGCTCTTCATCACGTCATCCTGTGTGAACAATAGTAATTTGTATTGTGCCTTTTCCTACAGACTATGTTCGTAAATTGTTGAATAAAATTCCCTGAGGAAGGCTCCAATGCCTATACCAGAGAGCAGAACAGCTACATGATGTTTTTTGGAATATCTTGACGAGTGTGAGAGAGGTATGGACTTAATGACTTCCACACACCCTAGCATGGTACCAATTCATGTGTTTGTGCGGTGAGTTCAAAATAAATATCAAGGAGATGTATGAAGACGATGAGATGATAAACCAGTAACTAATAATTCATGCGAGTATGTAGCTTGAGAGTAGAACAAAAACTTACAAAATACTCTTGTCTCTACCATGCTGCAGGTGATGTATCTCTAAGAATGGGCGATGAAATTTTTTCTGGTGCTGAGTTATGCCACCTCTGGGCTATCCCCATGACCCTGAAATACAATGTTAATCCCACCTCTCCATACCCACTTCCTCAACTTGTGCCTTGCCAATTAACCCTACCTACCTGCTACTCTGACCTATACGCAATTTAAACATGCCCTTGACACAGCTTTTACTAAGCATGGTGGATCGTCGTAATGAATTTTTCAACAGCAGTCATTCAGTCGGGTGCACACTCATATAAAACACACATCTATAAAACAGACAATAAAGTTGCAATGTATTCCTTCAACTGAGTGTAAATACCTACGCCATTAGAGTCACTTCTCTGTAAAGGATTATAATGTTCTTGAACATAATCCAGTTGTGAATCAGTAAGAAAGAATCCAACCTCTGGGATGACCACTCCATCATGATCAGAGGAAAACATGCTACTACCCATGTCAATACCATATTCATCTTCGACAGCAAACCCACTTGCTATGTCCGCTAGAAATTCTTCTGACGCTGAGATTATTCCCCTGTTAAACAACTGCAGTGGGGTCAAGCCATTTTCGGTTCGTAAGTGGTGGTTATTCAGAGCCCTGAGAAATTGACGGAGTCGATTGTTTATTGTTGGCAAAAACACATAGTGGAGAACAAACATATCTTTTTCACGGTCTACATCAAGAAGACCACAGTCTTCCATTTCGTAAAATAGTGCATAATATGGCTGTCCGACACAGCGAAATGTATCCCTCCATAACCGCTCTATCCTTTGGTTGTGGACACTACTGCCAGTGATATGGCTTTTCCTTCCAGTTCCTCTAACCAGGAGCATGGCCCTAGCAACATCAACATTTTCTCCCCCTATGTCTGATCTTACCCTGGAGGGCCATCCACACTCTAGGACTGCTCCATGAAAGAGACGAAAAACCGTCTCTGCTCTGTTGTTGGATGCAGCATGAAGGTAGACAATTCTTCGCGAGAATCCGTCTATACCCCCATGTACAACTATTTTCCAACGGATTAAACAGTGTAACCCATCAATATGCTACAGGTAGTTGGATGAAGGGACGCTATACACACGGCGGGCTATTGTGTGTGAACGGCGGTGTCTAATGAAATTCGGTGATACCCTCGTCAGGGAATCATGTACTTTTTGACGGGTCACATTTATTTTCATACTTCGAAGCTGGCCCCACATCATTACAATGCCATTGTTGGGGAAATCAGTGACAAGCAACTGCATAACACCATCAAGTTCAGTATCAGTAATATCAGTGTAGTTCAGGAAGTAGAAATATCCATTTCAGTTAAGTGCCTCCATAATGTTGTTCTAGAAACCATCAATACATCTGCTACTTGTTGCCAGGTGTAGCGCATATCTCTGAGCATTTTGACCTGTGAATAAAACAGTACTCACATGAGATATCACCTGGGCAAAAAGAATGGTGTCATAGAAATTTAGACCAAGGTCTTCTGAACTACGTAACATTCCCAACCTCACACTTTTTGTGTTGCAGTTGCAGCATGATCAACACAAAGTAATTGCCCTTTTGAGGGTGCACACCATAAATCCTGTATAAATGTGGCGTGGTACCTGCTCTCCACTCAGGATACAGGAAAAACAGTTTAGTTTCATATAACTGGCTGAGACAAATGCGGAGGTCCCGTAAACGTGTCAAAACATTCTCATCTACATGTCTCTCTCGAGTGACTAGTACTTCATCGAGAAGTTCTCCAAGTTCAGTGGAAGAAGACACAAGAAAGGTCAAAATAAAGTCCAAATCTGCTATATCTTCGTTTCCAGCGCACTCAATACACCGCGCAATGACAGATGAAACATGGTCAACTACTGCAGAAAACTCTGCCATACTATACCTAGCTACCAGACACGAAAGCGTTTCTCTACAGTTACACGCTGGTCCCCAACACCACCACACCCACTTTCTCCGTCCTCCCTTCCCAGAGAGTTGTCGCGCCCCCAGGGAGTTATCGCGCCCCCAGGGAGTTATCGCGCCCCATGAGAATTATCGCGCCCGAAGAAAGTTATCGCGCCCCCAGAAAGTTATCGCGCCCCATGAGAGTTATCGCGCAAGTTATCGCGCCCCATGAGAGTTATCGCGCCCCCGGAGAGTTATCGCGCCCCATGAAGTTGCGTTTATCGCCCGACAAACACTTTATCGCCCGGCTGAAAGGTTATCGAATTTTGAAACAATTAGCATTCCATAGTGATATAGCGTTTTCAATTTGAATACGTTTTCACTATCTTTGTCGCATTTGGCGTTCCATAGGCCCTTATTAGCTAAAGGGGGCGGCGTTCAAACATCACATGACACTTAGCAAAACATTGAAATCTGATGGAGGGTCCCAAAACGCTCGCCAGTGCCTAGGTTGCGGCTGGCGCAGTAGTCCCCGGCCTCCCGTATTGTGCGATTCACAGCAACCCAGCAGTTTCGTTTCGGGAGTAGAGCGACCTTCCAGGCTACTTTTCTGTTACTAATCTCTTGGAGGAAAAGAATATCCAGTTGATAGCTTGTAAGGTGGTGCACATTGATAAGCTATGTATTAGCTACATTATTTGACATACGTAGCCTGCGAAAAAAAGAGGCTGCTACATGTATGAGTTTATACATGTAAATGAGGGTAACTTCGGACACGGGGTAGTACCCGGACACAACTCGCTATTCAGAAACAAGAGAAAGATTCGGATATATTTCACTCGCGTTTTTTTCGCAGCGCATAATTTCGAGGCTGGTGTAACGCCCCATGTCCGGAGTTACGTCCGCGTTAGGAGTTACCCCCATTTACCTTACAGTTATAAGACACAGACACCAGGACAACATCAGCCTAGAAGGGGCAAATGCTGTCCTGTCTCTGTGTTAGCTATAGCTAACTATTTGGTTGACATCTCTTAGCTAAACTAACTGAGGCTAGCTTTATACTTGATTCATGTTGGTTGGTTGCCTGGTAATATGGAAAATGTTTGTTACTACCAATCATGAATGGTGTTGGTTTGAATTATCAACACAGGAAATATGTGTGGAACGTGCAATCAGTACACATTGTTATATTCATTATTCTTGCCTCACCAACACCAGCAGATTTTTGCAATGGCTGATTTCACATGTGAAATGTGTGACCGATTCTATGTGGACCCCCGTATGCTGCCATGTCTCCATTCCTTCTGTTTCGAGTGTCTGGAGAAGGAACTAGAGACACGAGACTCCCTGAAAACCCTGTGCTGCCCCAGCTGCAAGGAGAAGGTAACTCTCTCTGAGAATGGAGTGTCTGATCTCCCTCAAGACATCTATAAGGGTAACGAGTCCGAAATGGCACGCATTAGCGAGAAGGTAGAAAGTGCAGACGAGTACTGTGAAGCATGCGGTCGAACTGATAGCACAGGGAACGCAGTTGCTTATTGCCATGAGTGTAAGGAGTACTTGTGTAAGTTTTGTAAAAGCCGTCATGTCGAAAGGCCCACAACAGCAAAACACATGCTTTTTAATGTTGGTCAGCGAACGATGAAGACAAATGAACCTAGCCAATGCATGCCAAAAATGTTTTGTCTACTTCATGACAACTATCCCCTAGATCTTTACTGCAAGCAATGTGAAAAGTTAATTTGCAAATATTGCATGGATTTCGAACATCATAGTCACCGGGAAAAATGTAATGTGCTAGAAAAGTTTAGGGAAGATGAAATGGAGAGCCTTCAAGCAAATCAAGGAGATGCAAATAAAGCAGTGGCCTCCCTTACCAAAGCCATTAGTGATTGTAATGATACACTGGGGAATGTTCAGAAGAATAGAAATGAGGTAGAAGCCTGTATCGACGTTAGCCTAAAGAAGGTCAAAGAGCACCTTTTCGCACAAAGTGATACTATATGTTCGGCTAAGGTGAAAAGTCTTCAAGCACAAGTGTTACAACTGCAGAGGCTACAAGAGGGTCTTTCCCTTGCATCCAGGCTGATAGCTGAAGCTCCAACCCAGACCTCAGCACAACTACTATCAACCAAGAATGTTATCTCAAAAAGGGTTACAAAGCTATTGGAGGAATTTAACAATTCCCAGCTGTTGCCTTCAAGGAGTGCTTTTGTTTCCACACACATTCAAAGCTACATCAGCAGGATGATTACCTTCGGTTGCATATCTGGTGGATGCTCCCCTTCTGCTAGCACATGTGATGCACAATATGTACCACTTGCTGTCATCGGTACATTACGAATCATAAGAGTAGTAGCTAAGGATAAGGAGGGCAAATCTTGTGGTTATAGTGGGGAAAATGTAAAAGCTATATTAGTTGATTTAAGTCTCCTGGGTCCTGCTACCAGTGGTGATACCCTTGATCATGGCGATGGCACATACTCTGTGTCCATCACTCCACAATATAAAGGTGACCATGAGTTGAATGTGGCTATTGCTGACCTACACATTAAAGGGAGTCCCTTCAAGTTTTATGTCACCACACCCAGAGAAACTCCCTACAAGTCACTTAAATTGTCAAGGCCACATTCCTTTACTACCAACGACTCTCCATTTGATGTGGCACTAACAGAAGAAGGCTACCTTGTAGTCTCCGAATGCAAGAACCAAACATTAACTCTTTACACTGAAGGTGGTATGAAAATACATTCATTTGGTAATGCTAGGAATCACGGGAAGGAAAACGGACAGCTACATACTCCATCTGCTGTAGCAATCGCAGGTGACAACGTATATGTCTGTGAGTTAGGAAATAACAGAGTTCAGAGGTTTAGCATCAGTGAAAAGTTGTTTGTTTCAAACTTTGGAAAAGCTGGAGATGGGGATGGGGAGTTCAACAACCCAACTGGAATGTGCGTTGATCCACAAGGAATAGTATTTGTTGCAGATAGAGACAATAATCGCATCCAGGTATTTCGTGACAATGACAAATTTGCTTACGCTTTCCAATGTCAGATGAAACCTTGCGGGCTAACTTTTGACCTTCAGGGACGTCTTCACGTTGCTGCTTGGGGCTCCAACTGCATCCAAGTGTTTACACCGAAGGGGGTCCTGCTGACTAATTATGGTAGTGAGACTCTCAGTGGACCTACAGGCATTGCTGTCAATGGAGAGGGCTACATTGCCATCAGTGAGAGTGGTGATAGCAACCGTTTCTTGATCTTCCATCCAGACCTCACTCTTTTTCACGTAGTCCCGGGCGAATTTGGCAAGGGAGGAGGAATTACCTGCAATAAAGACGGCTTCTTTTGGGTAGTTGACAGTGGCAACAACTGCCTAGCCAAGTACTAAAATTGTGACTTGTATAGTTACCACAAAAACATGTGCTGCGAGAATGGTGTGCAGAGATGTTACATTTTTGCGCAGGCGTATCCTCTCATCAATATCGTGAGCGGGACACGTATTGGGCATATATCTGCAGCACCATTATTAATTACGTTTACCACACTGCACCTACGCACATTACTTTTGCACCAACTTCGGCTTTTAAACCCTTTGGGCGCCATTTACATAATATATATGCACAGAGCCTCCATAAGTGCATAATAATTTATATATGGCTATAATACTAGGCGCTAATATGTTATACATAAATATCTGCTTATTTAAGGAGACACCTATGGCGCCCAAAGGGAGTTGGTGCACCATCACAATACACTGTGATGATTTTTGCTTGTAATATTTTGTACGTAGTCCAACTTCAAACAATCTGGTGCTTGGAATATACGCTGTATTCTGAGCTGTGGGCTGACCAATATTGCATTGGACAGGAAGTCCTTATCACAACATCTAGAGCTACACTTAGTGCAAATTGCCTGGCTTTCAAAGTTTAGCTACACACAACAATCATTAGTACATTAGTACATTCAGTATAATTATCGTCACCACACACGTGGGGCAGGATGACGCAGCAGACATTCAGCATTGCGATAGGCCAGTTGGACTACAAATCACTTAACGTCAGGTGTCTCGGTGCTGACAGGATATCCTCATCGGCTGTTGACTATAGGAAAGTGCTCTGATAAAGATGTAGGTATGAGACAGATAATATGCAAGCGAAGGGGAACTTCCGATATTGTCATTCTGTTGAGGCAGATTTCTGCTCTATATTTGTTTTCAATGTGCCCAAGAAGAAGGCAGTTGCTACCAGAGAGTGTTGACTGTGTTTAAATTCCAATAGCACCAATAGCTACACTTGTCAGATCCCCAAAGTAATAAAGCGGTGTCATTGCTGTGCAAAATTGGCGTAAAATGTAGGCACAACATCCCCAGCCACACAAACCACAAGAGGCGGGGCAAATGGGCATGGGCTAACAGCTGCGCCTTACAACATCTGCATGTGCTATTCCGTACAGAAAATCATCTTCCCACGCTACTGGCATGTGAACTCTCAATATGCTGTTATCTCCTCCACTTTATACCCACAGTCAGGTTTTGTATAATTATAGTGTGAGTTAGGACAGTAATAGAATTGACCACATACATTCCATGCAACACAATAGTCCTGGACATATTGTAGTTCAGTTTGTGTGTGTCAGATCCATTATACTACTCCTTTTACTGCAAAATACGACAAGTCATTCAACCAATTGTGCGTTGAATCTTCAGCAATGAAATAAGTGGCTGGGGAAAAGTCGCAATGGCGAGGATTAAACCTAGAACCACTTTATATATAGTTCCAAGCATGTCCAATTCCAATGTTTGTATAAGCGTGACCCACATGCAATGGGTTAAGCTAGTGTACAGTACAGAGTTTGCATGTAATGCAGTGTTCAGGCAGAGTTGAAAATATGTACAACGTTGTGGCTTGCTTCTACGCTTGTGGACCAGGTTAGGCAGTGCTTTCCCCTCCAGCCACTCCTGCCGGATCTTCTTTTCTCCATGTCAACAGCATGTTCATGTAACTCCCCAGGTCCAGGAAAAGGACTCCAAATGTGGAGTAGTGTGCTCGAAATTGAAGTTGGAACTTGTGAAGAGGTCAGGATCAAGGCGTTTGTAAAGGAACTGAAATCACTCCATGTGCAACTTTCAAGTAATGCTTGCAGCTTGCTGACTACTACCACCTGCTGCGTCAGTTGGAGTTCACGTTCAATCACATGGTATAGACACACTAATTGTGTTCGCTCGACCTACCATGGTTAGAGCTCAAACGCATGACACTCATCTCGGTATCTTAATAGATTGATGGCGAGATGCTTAACTGAACAACTATACACACCATTTTAGAGCATACGTTTTCAATATTGTAGTACATACAGTGACAACAACTGCCTCGCCAAGTACTAAATTGTAACATTTACTTACCAATGCCTTTCAGAATGTCATGTGAGAATGGCATGTGCAGCCATTACATTTTTTAGCGGGCATATCTATTTAAAAATAGCGGTCAAAACACACCTTGGTGTTAACCTGCAGCATCTGGTAGCTACCACACTGCACTGGAAATTGGTCTTGCAACAATGCCATTTTCAAAGAACCTAGAGCTAGTGCACAATAAATTGGTTATGATGTGGAGAAAATATTAATGGTTGCTGAACGGAATACAGATTATTAAACAGCATTATGTAAATACCAGTGTATATACACTCTAGTAGGTGGTCAACACAGAGTTCTCGGAGAACGAT